TGAAAAATTCGAAAGCAATTTGGCCAAATTGCCTTTTGAATTTGGAAATAAGTCCAACTTCTGTATAAAGGATATTCTGCCTACCATCTGAACTTGGGACTTAAACAATCAAGGCCTTCGCAATTGTACGCAAAACCGGCGACGGGTAATTCTGGCATCTTCCCATTACATTCGGCTGCTCAAACCTATGCGTGGGCCTTGGTCCGAATTTTCAGGAAATTATATGCGTCCACAGGTCTAATTTGTAAGAAAAGTGCCCTCCACGAAGGCATTCATTTGCCTTCCCTCAAAAGCAATCAAAATCCTAACGTGATTCGTTTTTCGAGACCTCGCTAGCCGCAACTTCCATAACTCACTTGACCCCGCCACGCGAGGTCCTGATTGGTCAGTCGCCACTGTGTCGCGACCCGCCAGCGCAGTCCCAACCAGCCCGAACAAATCAGTCTGCCGGATCGGTCGGCTAATACGCTTATTGGTTAAAAGGGTCCCGTCAGGCGATTGCTTCAGCCCATAAAGCAAGGCTGTCGAGGCCGCGCCGGCCATTTCCCCCTCGCTGAGACGCAATGGACTATTCGCGTGAAGTCACCATTTCGGTCGAGCGCATCGCCCCCGACGATGACTCATCAGGGCTTCAGCCAGTTCCGTTGACTGACCCCGGCAAAAGGTGAGTAATGAGCATTCTATTGGCATTTAGCAGCATCATATGGTTCCTGGTTTATTTGCTTTGTAAACGGCAGAGAAACAAGCTATTTGTAGATTTGAGATTGCAAAAAATATGCGCTGACCGAGGCAGTTTTATATTTTACGTAAGAAAACTGCTTTTTTTACGTTTCTGAGCTCTGATAATGTCGTTTCTGTACTCAACTCTGATGCCCGCAGTCAAATCGGAGGCGATAATTGAAACTGGCGGTTATAAATGATCCAGCCGTATAATTCTTCTTAAACTGAACTGATCTAGGCTTTAAAACAGGCATTTTAACAATGTGGCATAACTCACGGGGAATGCCTCAATGTCTCCCTTAAGAAATGATCGAAGTTAGACAGGGCGGAAGCGACAAATACAAGAGGGACTGGGGTGTCAGTTTCTGGCTTATTAGCCGTCATCAGCCAATCATACCCAACCGCCGGCCTTTGAGGATCTGGAGTTTGAATGAGTCTTCTTTGCTCACCGTGGATTAAGCAGTCCAACGCTCAACCAATGAGCCATAGACCCGTTGCGCTGTCGGCTGTTATTGGGAAAATTAACTCTGGTAGAGGGACGTTCACCGCTCAGGGTACGGGACAAGCCGCTGTGTTTTGAGGCTCAGTCTAGAACTCTCGCATGCAGTCTCATTGCGACCAGTAGTATATGCAGATAGGGTGGCGACGAAAAATACAGAGAGAGAGAGAGAGAGAATGGTCACTTCTGTTTTACTGGCAACCGTCAACCATACTCGAGGTCACGCAGAGATCTAAAAGGAACGAAGAACACACCCACCCTCAGTGGAAACTCGTGAAACAGATGCCGAAAGTCGGGCGTTTTACTCTACATAGGGCCCGTTTATTGTCCTAAATCCCCCCGCCCACTCCAGTATGTTGCTTTTTGAGCGGAACCAGAAGAGGTCAGCGCTGGCTCCTGGAGCGTATTGGTCGAGGAGTTGTGGGCAAGTCTGCGTGAGTCCTCGTGGGCACACATAAATGCTGTCTTTCGTCCCAGGCCAGGCATTGTGTCCTACCCCGTTGCCTGATAAGTGGGAGACTTGGGGAACAGCGCGGCCGATATTCCTGTGCGTCTAGTCATACACAGCAAGATTTTACGGAAGGTAGGTAAGAAGGAGGAAGATGAATGCATGGATCAACAAAACGACTGATCGAGGGTTGAGTAGGGGGGAGCGGGATTGGGCGTTGATTCGAATACGCTGTTTTCCCTACTCTTAATTGAAGACGATCCCGTATGATGAGACCGGGAAGCTTAGGCAGTACGCATTATCAAGGCATCGGAAAGCGATATACAATTTGTAAGAATTTCAAATGATACAGCGATTGGAACGTGACAAGGCCTAAGATCAGCGGTCTTATAAGTAATTTGTAAGCCTAAAAATACGCCTTGAGCATCAGTGTTTATGTATTCACAGAGTACCGGTATATTCCAGTCCTTTAATGGGAAATTATGTACTCCTGAAGCGTATTCTTTTTAACTTAATTTATTGGCTTAGACGTTAGGCAATTCGCATATTTATATTGTAAGGCACAACCTACCATAGCACCGGTTCATAGAGCTTTCCAACAACTTTGACAGGGATGTTTTGGTGAAGAAGTTTCAGCAAGACGTCAGAGCCTTCGGAAGAAACTGGCTCATTGAAGATGGAGGCCCATAAAATGGGCCAAATGGTAGGTGCACAGAACCAACGCGGGGGGGGGGGGGGAGATAGATCGGGGTCCGACAGGCGTTACCGGGAATTTACACCCATAACAACAGTGGGGATGTGACGGCACGCCCAGACGCAGGTTCCCACGGCGTCGCCTGGGATCCAGGCCGTCCGTCTCTTTTCATTTTGCGTAAAATTCTGGTCAGTGTACGTTGTGAACGAGGGGGCGTGGTGGTACGCCCAGGCGCGGGTTAGCGCAGTGCTAGTCATATGCGCCCTCTCCCGCCTCCGGTCTTATCGACTCTGTCTTGACACCGGATTCTGGTGGGGGAGGATGAGGGAGTGCAGTAGGTACAGCGCAAGTCTAGTATCACTTTAAAATAACTCACGCCTAAGGCATCGCCCCCGCTCCTACCCTGCTATGTCGTACACGGTGGATATCATCGGCCAAGACGATCGAACTGTCGGTATTTCGACTAGCAGTCAGTAGGCGTCGGTGAAAAAGCCAGGGACCACGAAATGGCGATTTCTGACTTATTGACCATCACCTGCCAGTGGAGCTTTGCATGAGCTGTGGACGCCTAACTCTAAGTCAAAACATAATCACTCGTTTTTCTCCCCACAACGCAAATACGTCGATATGCAGCACTCCCCTATGAAGTAATCTCTGTTTGTGTGCTCATCTAGAAGGCCAGCATCCGAATAATCACGAACGAAGGCTCCATTCTCCTAAGAAATGCATTTCCCTTAAGCATTCCCGGTCGGATGTGGTTATGTGGTCCCACCTGAAGCAAACAAACAAACCCCAGTCACCTTTAATACGGCACCGGTGGTGCTAGAGATTTTTAGAGGTGGGACCAGGGAACGCACAAACGACGAGGTCAAGTAGTTGTATGCGAAAGAAAAGCTATTGGGAATGCGCGGTTGTAATTTGGATGGTTGAGAAATAGTTGCGATAACCCCTAACCCTAACCCCCAAGTATAACCCCTAACCACAATCCCTAACACTAACCCTTAACCCTAACCCCGACCCCAACAGTAGTTTGTCAATCGGGTGGGGCTATCAAACCACATCTTACTGCATTCCCAAGAAAGAATGTAACTCAGCGTCTCGTGACAATGGCTGAAACTATTGGCAGGTTCCTCGCCTAATTGCACAAGTTCCGGTAAGATTTTGACCATCAACTCATAGAGCGAGGAATATATTACTTAAAAACACCTCCCCCGACTGGCAGCTGCGCTGGTCCCCAAACAGGGACTCGCATCCCAACGCACAGTCGGTACGCTCACCTTAACGACCACGTTCCCCTTCCCCACGGGAGACCGTTCCTCGGTACCCTGAGAGTGGCTTGAGAGGCCACGCGCAGGAGCGCCAACTCGATATGGCAACCCCTCACCCCATTCCCATTCGGTATCATTACTATGGTCGCTACTGTTGTTGCCATTGCCACCAAATCGAGTTATCAGTGGTTGGCATGACGGAGGGGCGGGGGAGGGGTAGGTAAGGGTCATTGCGCCGACTACTTGTGCGCATCGTCACGTGGTGGCCCCACCTGTTGTCACGGCGAGCATCTGGTCACGTCATGATCCTCCCGCGCCTCCCACCCGCTCAATCAGAGCCGACGTCACTTCGCCTCCAAGTTCCCCTGGGGGCGTGACCCTTGAAATCTTAAATGAGCGCATCTGCCGGCAAATATTTTGGTCATTTTTTTTGCTGGGAGATCTCAACCAAACGCCCAGTGATCTGGGCCCCCAGAGAGGACGAGAGCGAAACCCCCAAGCACCTGCCCTGGGTAAAATGAATCCTCCTCCTCCTCCTCCTCCTCCACCAGCTAGGTGATCATATATGAGGGCAATCCTTTTCAGTGCCTCATAACACCTGCATACACAATGTAATTGATTTGTATGCATGCATATGTACATTTAACTTGGTTAAATTAGATCGGATGAACACGTTCTCCAGGCTGCCGACACAGACGCAAACTGCCAGGAGGTCGAACCTCGTGGTCACGCCCTCGCACTACGCGTGGCAAAACAGCTTGCCGAAATCGCGGAAGAGCTGGAGGCGCAATACGGACACGAGCTTCAGGTGCGTATTCCGCACACCCCTGACATCTGGACTAACTTCGCGTTCCTCCGATCCACTGCGGTAGGTTTATTCCCTCTGATTGCATCTTCACGGCCCCTAAAGTGGGCTAACAACTGAGGAGTGCAACCCATGAAATAGTCGTCGAATCTTAAAAGCATACGTGCGGCGCTTTTCTCATACTGGGTTAGTCAAGCATGTGTCATATCCAGGATATATCCATTCCAAGGTCAGTATAAGACTGCAAAATGACCTCTTAATCACACTGGAAGTCAAGATGATATCAGTCACTGGAGTCTTAGGCTTTGCCAACTAAAGATCGGTTTGAAGGTGGTTTTATGGAAACTTCGGTGGAAATCGCAGCTTATTAACCTGACAGGAATCTCCAAATGGGTTTAGGATGGATTAGTACAGAAGAAGAAGCGATCGTTGAAACAAGGGCTTTATTCGCCTGACGTTTCGGATTCTCACTTGAACCCGTCGTCAGAGACAGAGGCCTCTGTCCCTGATGATGGGTTCAAGTGAGAATCCGAAACGTCAGGCGAATAAAGCCCTTGTTCCAGCGATCACTTCTTCTTCTTCTTCTTCTTCTTCTTCTTCTTCTTCTTCTTCTTCTTCTTCTCCTTCTTCTTCTTCTTCTTCTTCTTCTTCTTCTTCTTCTTCTTCTTCTGGTCGACTAGTTCCTTGAATTCGCATCTTCGCCTGTATCGGCAATGGATGAGTACCTCAACACTGCCCCAAAAGACTGACACGACCGCTGATTATTCAAGCAGATCGGATAAACCTTGCAAACATCGAAATATACACATTTTCCAGGAGGATGGATGACCGCAAGTCAGGCTCATCTGATCGAAATTACTGATGAGGTATTCTGTTCAGGCAGTTGATGGGAAACTGTACATTCTGGGCATCGTCGCAGGAAATGGCAGCATAACTAGGTTTAAAAGTGTGACATCTGAACATCTGCACAGAAAATGTGGCGCGCTCAAACAGATGCGTACAACTGCCATCAGTGGACACAGCTTTGAACTATGAGCAATGAGCGGGAACACCGGCTGTTTGGAGCACACATTCACTTGAGTTTACATAAGAACAACTCTTCACATGATGTGTTCCTTCTAGAACTACACATTCTACTACTCCATCAAGTTTACAAACTATATACAGTAGCCGACCCATTTCATGGAATTTTAACCAAAATTCTGAAATGCATTTTTAATTAGAAAGGACGGCTCATTTGGGTCGTGCAGGATGGTTCGAGGTTATTTCAGTCACAAGGGGATTCCGGCTTTCGAAAGAGCTTCTTTCCGACCGTCCACATAGACTACACTCGGTGAAAAGGACTGCTCAACTAGTGGGCACGTTCGCCCTTGATTTACGATACTCTCGTAAATTAGGACATATTTTGTAAAAAACATGCAAAAAATATTCTTTCCTGTGTTCCTTTCGTAAAAAATTAAGTCTTATTCAAATGTCATACTCAAAGAAAGAGTAGCTTTCCATTTTTATAGCAATAAACACTGTTATAAAATGTTTCCTGACCGTGAAATGCCTATTCATTCAGCATCGTATCTATCCGTCTATTAATTCTGCTTATAAATTTTACAACATGACCCACATCCATCGTAACATCTTATGAGCCATATAAGACGCCCTCTTAACAGCTTAGGGAAATACAGGATTTCCCCTGTGCAGACAGTGTACAGCATAGAGTTTTGAAACCCTAAGATCAAGTGCAACTGATGGTTGGGTTCAGAATAATTCGGTAATTTAAAAACTTTCTTGAAACCTAAAGATACCCTACATGCGAAACGATTCACAGCATGAATTTTCTTTACTGGACATGTATAAATGGCTTAACTACTTAAGTAGGACGGTCGCCCTTATATGAATTTGACGATACAAAATTTCTCCGTAAGAATATAAACTCTTTGGAAGCAAGCTACCTCATTAAACATACACTCGTACCGAAGTCTTTTACACTTTTTGAGAGCGTTTGCGGGAATAACTCGAAGAAAAAGTCTGTAAAACACGTGAAAACAGTACCATTCTGTAGCGAACAACAGCTTACCAAGAGAACCAGAACTAGCTGCGGTGAACTGGTGGCTTACCTGTCAGCTGGCTTCTGCTAAGGCGGACCTGAATTTGCATCGTGTTCAAGCGACAAGATTCAGTCAGACCGACTGGGACAGGGAGGGCAATGAGTCGCTTTGTCTACAGAAGAAATATTGGACGAAACTCTGAAATATATCTTCGATTAGAAAAGAATGCTTAAGAGGGGTCGTAAAATTCAATATCGCACGACATAGTCATATAATATTTCAGTCACGTCAGAATGCCAGTTTTTGGACGAGCTTCCTTCGGACAGCTTGCACAAACTACACTCTATGAAAAATGACCACTTAAGTAGCATGCTTATTTTCTATTTATTTCCAGTACCCATTTACATCCAGATATAAATTTATTGAAAACAAGCGCAAAAGTATACTTTCTTATGCTCATTTTGTAGCAAATTATGTCTTTTCAAATTTTGCACTTGAAGAAGGCGTATCTTTTAGTTTCAAAAGGCATCTTCAATTCCCGAATACGTTAGAGGTAGCATTAATAAATAAACGGATACAATGCTTTATGGGTAGAAGCTTCGCGACCTTAAAATATCGAAATTAAAAACTGTTTTAAAAGCAAAAAATATTCTTTCTTCAAGTGACAACTTCGAAGAAGACGTAATTTGCTATCAGCTGAGCACAATGAGCATATTTTCCTACGCGTTTTCACAAAAAATATTTTAATATACAGGGCTTCGAAAATAAATGGGGAAAATCATATTACATAGGCAGTTATTTTTCCCTTAGTGTAGTTCTTTCAAGCGGCAGGGAGGACGCTCGTTAAAAAGCCGGCATCCTGACGTAACCAAAGTATTTTATGATTATGACGCGCGACAGTTAGCTTTTCGAAGATATATTTCGGCATTTCGATCCGACATTTCATGGCGTAGCACATTTAATGTACGCCTCACGTGTGCCACTCAGAAAGTAGTCCAGAATACGAATTAAAGCAGACTTCACAGAATTGGAAGTCTCTGCAATTGCCATCACAGGAAATAACGCTCGCCACCCTGCCATGCCCGCAAAAGCACGTGTCGTGTTTAGTATAGGGAGGAGGCTGACCAACCATTAGTTCGTCCATCGAGAACGTCGATGGCGACCGCCAGCTCGGGCGCAGTAAGGATTCGCCGTAGTTCGCAACACCTCCCCCTCCCTCTCTCCCAACACCCACGATGTTCTGATGGCAGTGAAAAGTATTAATATACTGAGGAGGCTTACCAACCATTAGTTTGTCCATCAAGAACAACGATGACGACCGCCAGCTCGGGCACAGTAAGGATTCGCCGTAGTTCTCAACACCTCCCTCTCCCTCTCTCCCTCCATCACTCACAACACCCACGATGTTCCGACGGCCGTGTAAAGTGAAAGCTAACGCAGGTGGGCGCGGACGCAGTGATTGACGGAGTTACTTGACAGTCTACGCGTGCCGCCAAACTGATGCTCTCTGTTTCTTTCGAACCATACTCCAGGTGACGGCGACGAGGGCATTGCATCTCACATTACTGAGGTTTTCATATAGGTCACAGTGAGAAAGAACCATTGAGGCGTAGCGTTTAATTAAGAGGAGGAGCGGGTTATTCCTTCAGTTAGTTCGCTCATCTGAGTTCGCTCATCTGAGGGAAGCGGAAGGGGTGGGAAACTCAGTCGGGATCTTAGTTTGCCTTTGTTGATGTTGAAATAGGCTCTTGCTGCGTCTACCCCGCCCTCAGTTTGCATACTCACTGCAGGGCGGGCGTGAGCGCTGCGACTTAGAGAGTTGAACTACCGTCTACGCGTGCCACACACAAGCGGGTACACAAATTCACAGGTAGTAGACGTCTGTGAGGATGACCCAGAGTTACAGTGGCCGGCAGTGTCCTGGAGGACGTATTAAAAGTGCGCGCATAATCATTCCTCGGACGTGGCTGCTTATCATGCAGAACATGAAATTAAAATTTCCTTTCACACCCAAAAATAACTGTTCTCTCGACCTGTTTCTCTTTCAAGGCGCGTCCCATATCTCCCTCGAAGCGATCGCTCTGCGGCCTTGGCATTTCCTGCCTTGCACTCCTCCTGACCTCCTGGTGCCTTATGAAGAAGTTTCGGTAGCGGAGGGCTCGAGGATGCCCCAAGCGCCCATTCAGACGCCACATTCAGTAGGCATGGCCAGAACGCTGCTCCAGTCAGCCCACTTCCAGACGCATGCCGCGGTCGGTGAATGCGGACCACCGTAATCGTGGTTAGTGGTGGAAGACGTCCAAACCTCACCGGTGGAATACACGAAGTCTCATCAGCTTCCTGCCGGACGCTTCGTGACCGCTTCTGCCTTACAGATAAAAGGAAGACGCTTATTTTTGTACAGAATTATTTCATCCCGCTTTAAATCCAGAGCCTGCCCTGTTGACATTCAGACTCATGATTTCTGGACTCTTGAGGGGGTCAGAGTACCTAGAGAGAGATCACGCGAATACCGACAGAACGCAAATCGAACTCGTGAAAAGTGTCCTAAACCAGCTTAGAAAGACCGTTCGTTGATCCGGTTAGAGCATGAATCATGCTCAGCCTGGTGTGTTGTGAACTTCACTTTCAAACCCACGTAGGCAGTGTCGCAGCGTCATAAGTAATAGGCCAACATCGACAAGGTGGAAATATAACCACGTCCCTACAATACATGCGCACGTGGTTCTTGCTTACCATTGTTGGGCAGACGTCTGCCTTGGCTTACTGACCTCGGGAATGTTACTCTCAACAATAGGTTAACTATTTTCACTTCATATTGATCCAACTGTGAAAAACTCGGCGCCTCGCTGGGATTCGAACCGACGACAGTAAGGTGAAGGTACAGCCAACGTTCTAACCATCTGAGCTGCGAGGCCCCACCGGCCGACGCGCGTTTAATCACATTTGGATCAAGTTTACCCCCCCAACCTACTGCAACGTCTGGAATCCACCAAATGCGATACAGTAAGTTGTCTGCCCAAGCAGGATTTCTTAAGTAATTCACCTAGAATCAAACAGATAACTACCAGGCTCACGTAATTCCTAGACGTTTTGGCAGATTTTTAATGATTCAAATTGATTCAGCTGTGAAATATGATTAAACTCGCGTCGTCCGGCGGGGCCTCGTAGCTCAGGTGTTTAGAGCGTTGGCTGTATTAAAGCCTTCACCGTACTGTCGTGGGTTCGAATCCCACCGAGGCGCCGAGTTTTTCACAGTTATGTCAATATGAATTATTCAAAGTCTGCCAAAACATCTAAGTATTTTCACTTCGTTGGACGGCAGTTTGGTTGCATATTCCATTTAAGGTGCATTTGAGAGTATGTTCACGAGTCCGTTGCCCTGTCGGTTTCGAGCGGAAATACAATCGTAGGGGGCGCTCGCCGATCGTTCTTACGGATCTCACTCGTTCCGTTGTGCCTTACGGGCTCTCTCTCTCGAGCCCAAGTGGTTAGAGGCGTAGACTTCTAACTAACAGGTCGCGGGTTCTAGCCTCGGTGTTCCACGCTTCGGGGTCGGGTATGACTGGCTGACGACGGCTACTAAGCCGGAAATAACTATTTCAGTCGCCCTTGTTTTTGTGGGTAATAAAAAAGAAAAGAGAATGTGGTAACCTAGAAGGCAGCAATAGTGAGTATTCACTTCTATTGATATGGTACGGCATTTGATCATAATGTCTCATGGTGGTTATACAGGCCAAGTGGGATACTTAAAAGATGCCGGCGATGCACAGTACAGAAGTGTGCACGGCGAATCGAGGATAACGTTGTTGGGGGGGAGTGGTTTTACTGGTGTCGTTCTCGCGGACATTCTGAACGACATTGAAAAGTGGCGTTGGAGTGGTGTGTTGGAGGTTACCGCGTTCACAGGATAAAGAGTGGTCTTGGGATTGCTTTTAGAAGGGGAAGGGTGAGAATTTATTCTGTTTCAGTCTAACGTAAATATCAACTAATACAGGGGGAGGGGGCCGGTTTGACCGTTTTTTGAGTTGAAGTAGGACTGGCTGACGAAAACTAACGGACCGGAAATGGCCATCGCAATCTCTCTGTATCGCCGTGTTGTTGGTATTCATTCCTCTTTATTCTACCGGAAGGCACCGCTCCGAGAAAATCGGCAGGTTAGAAGGCAGCCGAGACGAAGAAGAGAGACAGAGCATTACATCGGAGAGAACACATAGGGTCGTTCCGGATTGACCTTTTTCTACCTGGAGGAGGACTAGCGAATACTGCTAGGAGATAGTCAGCAGACGCATACATCCAGATTTTGGATTTGCCTGCAGTTTTTGCTCGCACATTAAGTGTTTTGGGAGTTCTATATTTTGTCGTTTACCGCGACCAGGTTGTCCACACAGGCCGAGAACTCTAGTGAAATCAAGGATATTCACCTTGGTAATGCAGGCTGTTGGGTTTCGATGGACTGCACGGCATGTGCAGAAACTTGTGACTTGATACTGACTGACACTATGTTGGAAGGGCGTTCACTGGTCGGATTACGGTGTGCCCAATGTGTTCGATCGCTCATGCAGTGTTATGGGAATCCTACATTTTGTCGTTTACCGCGAACCAGGTTGCTCACACAGTCACAGTACACCGAGAACTCGAATGAAGTCATGGACATTCACCGTGGTAATGCAAGCTCCTGAGGCTCAGTCTGTGCAGAAACTCGTGACTAGATACTGCCCGACATTATGTTGGCAGGGCGTTCACTGGTCGGATTACGGGACGTACTCGTCCCGTTGTACTTTGGGTCACTGTAACAAAAAAACGGCTCTTAAAGAAACCTAACAAGCTCTAGCTGGGACCCCCAAAATCCGAACTAGTTTACGTTAGTGGAAAGAGAGTTGGCAGAAAGCTATACGCGATCAACAGAATCCCACTGCCGAATAAGAAGAACCCCAGGCTAAATGGATGTAACAACTTTTCAGACTTGCAAGCGGGTACTCAGCCAGTAACACGAGCCTTGCGAGATCCGCGATGCACCTGCATTCTGTTGAATTTCAGCCGGATACGGCAATTGAGCCGTCCCAAGCGACGACGTCTAACGCATGCCCCGTTTTTTCCACGCATGCAGTGTTTTGTGAGTCGTATATTTTTTCGGTTACCGCAACCAGGTTGTCCACACAGGCCGAGAACTCTAGTGAAATCGGGGATGTTTACCTTGGTAATGCAGGCTGTTGGGTTTCGATGGACTGCACGGCATGTGCGGAAACTCGCGACTTGATACTGACGGACTCTATGTTGGAGGGACGTTCACTGATCGGAGTACGGAACATATTTGTCCCGTTGTGTTTTGGGTCATAGTAACGAAGAAAATGTCTTTTAAAAAGTTGCAGTTGAAACACCCAACATCCGAGCTAGTCTGCGTTACGAGAAAGAGAAAAGTCAATTGGTGGTAAGCCGTAGGCAGTCGATAGAATCCCACTGCCGAATAAGAAGAACCCCATGGCGGAACCGATGTGCCAACTTTTTCAGTCTTGCGGGCGGGTACCCAACCAGTAGTTCGGACGGAAGAGCACTGACGCAAACCTTGCGAGATCCCTGATACACCTGCCTTATGTTGAAATTCAGCCGGATACGACAGTTGAGTAGTCACGAGCGACGTCATCTAACGCATGCCCCCGTGCAGCAGCAGCGGTGACTTGCGGAGGACTTAGTATATGGTGAGGCAGACTTGCACAGCACCTACCGCGCTCCCTCCCCTCCCTCACCCAGCGGACATCGCTGGCGTGACGGCATCAAGACGGCCGGGAGTGGGCTGGGCCGCAGTGGCTGACAAGGTTAAACAGCCCGTCTATGCGTGCTGCACATGACCAGGCGGCTCGAAGCTCAAGTGGGTGGGGGCTTCGTGAAAGTTACTTTAAGAAGGGGCCACTGAGCCTGAGTCTTCATCCCGAGAAGAGGATCGGGTTAGCCAGTCGGTTGCCTGACCTCCAAGTCAAGGCTGATATGTCGTAAGAGCGCATGATTGTCCAGCACTGACTTCATCGTCTCTCCCTGTACTCATGCAACGGTCGACTCCCCGAGCCGGCCATCCAGCTTAATGATGGAGTTGGGCGCAATGGCTGATGCGCAATGAGAGCCTGCATCCAAGACGGAACACTACACATACGTACGGTGGTAGCTATGACCAAATGCCGAGTAATCGCAGCCTGGTAAGCGCGCGCAGCGAGCCGTTATGTACCCCGTTCCCGCTCAGCGCCTCTGCGGTGGACCCCACCGAGAGAGCCACAATCCAGTGAATGCAGAGAAGACCACGTTTGAGATTTACATCAGCTTTTAGTTTGCATAGGCCTGCATCCGGATGAGCGAGTTCGTATTACATGGTAGGGGGCGCTCACTGATCGTCCTTACGGAACTCACTCGTTCCGTTGTGCCTTAAGGGCTCTCTCTTGAGCCCAACCAGCAGCCGCACAGCGGCGCATGATATAGGCAGTGTGTTATTACCGACAAAGACAAAGGAGACTGGAATGACCATTTCTAGCTTATTAGCCGTCATCAGCCAGTCATACCTAAGTCCGAAGTGTGGAACACCCGAGGCTCGAACTCGCGACCTGTTAGTTAGAAGTCCACGCCTCTAACCACTGGGCCACGAGCCCATTGCCCTGTCGCGTTGAGTATAACTGGCTGACGACGGCTAACAAGTCAGAAACGGCCATTCCAGTCTCCCTTTGCCTTTGTCGGTAATACCATACTGCTCATATTACATAAAATTCAACTATTCTCCATAGTGACACTGACTGTATCAGGCAGCACTGAACAGTTAAAAAGTCTCTAATTCAACCCCAAATACTTTTTTGACTTTCTTTGACTTCCTTCTTAAATTTTTTAACTTTACATGTTGGAAGTTCGATTATTTGTCGACTGCAGGTTGGGTCACCGATTGGAAGGGCTCTTAAGTAAAAGCAACTAAAGAGGTAAAACTAATGCGACTTTCAGAGGTGAGTGGTGTGATGTGAGCACTGCATACCAATATTGCCCCCCCCCCTTCAGTGGGCCACGTGGCAGATGCGCAGAACCAACACGGGGGCCATATTGGACTCTGGCAGGCGCTATCTTGCGCAAGGACAAATGCCAACACTTAAGGGGTGCGCTGGCAAACCCTGTTGTCGGCAGTCGTCGCACAACTCGGACCACTGCCATCACCCCATTGTTTTGTGGTCAAAGTCCTGGTCATTTGTTGTGTGGACCAGGGGGTGCGGAGTGGAGCGCCAAGGTGAGCATCCGTTCAAGCAATCCACCTGCGGCCTTCCTCGTCTCTGGTCTTCTTGACTCTCCCTTGACACCAGGCTCAGGCGGGGGAGGAGGGAATGTGGTAGATGCAGCGCAAGTCTACTGGCATTATAAACCCCTGCGCAACTCACCGTCCTGCTCCCACCACCTGTTGTGGGGCATACGGTGGACATCGTTGAAATCGACGGGCGGTGTGTGTGTGTGTGTGTGTGTGTGTGTGTGTGTGTGTGTGTGGAGTGGTTGACTGGTGGGCTGAAAGCCAGGCTGAAACATTTCCTTCTTAACGTGACCTACGTTACTCTCACGCATGTGAAATATACGCCGCCCAACCTCCGCTGTGTGAAATCTTGGTGCTTGTTTTTGGTGGGCCATGCCGTGCACGTGTCGCTCGCAGACAGGGTCACTATATACACTTAGTGACCTAACTCATGAAATGTGTCGAAATTTACTAATGATTGCCAATCACTCGCAAACCGACACCATTTCATGAGTCAAATGTCTATGTTAATTAAGTACAAGTTCAAAAGAATTAAAAGCATAAAAATTGTTAAAGGCAGTGTTGCGTTGTTTAGAAATGTCGATTTATTTTGAAAAGCGCAATATCCCGAAAACGTCAGAATTGGCTCTAATTAAGTAAAGTTCGTTTTTAGATGTACAGAATGTATTCTCATAATAAAAACGTAGAAAATATGAAGGTAGACATGAAATTACGTCTAATAAGAGTGTTTTAGTAAACTTTACATCGAAATGTCGTTTAATAAGTAATGTGACTTCATATATGACGGTTTGTCAACTGCCTACAATCTGGGTGTAGATTCCAAAACAGTTTTCCAGTGTTTCATGATTTCTTTCGCTATTTGGTGTTAAATGAGATGGGGTTCAACAAGAGAAGCTGGATTTTGCTTGATTTCGCCGATGGGGACGTCGTAGGATCAGAAGTTTTCATAAGATGACACGTCATGAGGCCGGCCGTTGCCTAATAAATTTCAATAGAACTGACAAGCGTGATCGTAAACATACCATTTTGTGTTTATAGAGAGAACTTTTCTTCCGTCAAATTACTTTCTACTTTTCCTTTGTTTTGGATTACGTTGATTTTCAGATCGGTCTCGAAATATTTCTGAATACTTCACGACTTTCAGTGTTTACACCCGGTCGCCCATAAAGACAAATTCTGAATTACCAGTCTGTTGAGAACTTTAAAATAAGATTGTTCTTGAAGGCATTTACCGAAGCAGTGGGTGATCGGGCACTCCCTTTCATGAAACTAGTCATTTGGGTAACACGGGAAGACTCATTCAAACATCAAACTTCATTTTCGAGAAAAATGACTGACCACAACGAAAGTCACCAACGAATATGCCTTGGATCAATAAGAAAACTTTCTTTAATAAGTTACCTCCTTAGGAAGTGCTCTATTACTGCACTCCGTCGACGGATCTCTGTGTACTTTGCATTTTTGCACGGCGAGACCAAGTAAAAATCTGACACTTTTGACGGTTTCTTTCACGGCCCTAAGCAATACTAATATTTTTCTACCGTAAACGCAAGAACATGCCTTTCTCTATACATTGAGGCCATTTCCACTGTCTTTGCTGGCTTTTAGACTCCGTTCTTCGATTACGAATGCTCGGCAGAGCGCCCATATAAATACTGATATTTTGATGAAACTAAAAATGTTTTGCTCGTTCTATTTCTGAAAAAAGTATGCGCAGAAGCTAAAATACTAGAAAAGTAGTGTGTCATATGTTTAAAGCTGGAAATGAACATTCCGTGGTGGTCATCTATGTGACATCAGGTAGAATTTTCCAAACGGCAAAAAAATCAACCCGCTTAAACGAAGGAATCTCTATCTGCTTTATTATTGCACTTCAGGGCACCAAATCGCACAGATCTGCTAATTTGACATAAAAGGATTGATAAAACCTCTGGTTTTCTTTAAGTAACCTTTTTCTTAGCAGGTTAAAAAACATGGTTAACGTCGGACCTGAAATAAAATTTATAGTTCGGCTAAATCTGTTTATTAAAACTCTCGTGAGTAAATTACTATTCTTTCAATGAAAAACTCGCTCAGATGCGTAACTGGAGTCTAGGACATGTATTAGCATAGGAAATTGCACGAATATATTCCAACGTCTATTTTCGCTAAATTTTAATGATATTTTACTTGATATAATTACGTTAACACAATTTTTGCACAAGAAAAGGACATTTCATTGAAGGATGTGGGTGAGCGAACAAAATGCGCCACGTTAAAGGCGTCCAGAAATTCTGTCATCTGTTTCCGTTATCAGATTTCATGAGATAGGTCACGTACTGTCAACCGGCCGGCTCGACCAATGGCAATGACAAGGGCCTGGAAGTGGGAAAGAAGAGCGCGGTCGACGACTCAGCGCGTTTCCCTCACCATTAACAATCTGACACACTTGAAGCTATCACGGTGCGCTAAAAGCCGTGACTTGGAGGGTTGCCAACTGACGGGAAACCTGAACATCACAGTCAGCCCAGTGTTGTGTGTTTGTGCGACGCAACCGACTGGTGCTCTAGGAGTCAGGCTGCAATGGCTCCTTCTTATGTGGCCTTTATGGCACTCCCACTGTGTGGGATCCAAGCCAGGTGTGATGGCACGCCTAGGTGCGGCTCCGGACGTGCTAGCCACCTGCGCCCTCTCCCACCTCCGATCTTCTTGACTCTGTCTTGACACCGGGTCCATGCGGGGCGGAGGAGAGAGTGTGGTGGATGCTACGCAAGTCAACTTTCACCATAATCTAAAGTACGCGCAAGTCACCGTGCCTGCTCTCAGCTCACTGTGGAGCACACGGTGGACATTGTTGGTGACGACGGTCAAACTCTCGTGACGCATTCCCAGCTGCCACTTGGGCCCCGCTTTCATGACGCTGTTCACTCCGCCGGTTGTCAACTTATTCCTACCGGCTCTGCAATTGCCCTATACCGAGTACAGTATCCTCCCAACTGGCGTCCAACTCCTCTTTCTTTTCAGGGCTGGGCTAGGGTCTCCTTATGGGTTAAGCTGTCGTGACACATTCCCCCGGGGTGTCCTGCGTCAGGGTCTAGTGGCACATGCGGTAGGCGTCTCTAATTGGTGCTGAAAACTCGTTGGGTGATGATCTATCAACAAGCAGGGCAACGGTGTACGTAGGCATGTGGAGGTGGCGGCCACGCTTTTCATCTATGCTCGGACTATTTGACTGCATGTGTGGCCCGATTTCAGGACACCAAATGGCCACCCGTTTTGACTTTTTCTTAAATAAGCCAGAGATGGCTCCTTGGGTAGACTGGAAAGAAGTCCCGACAAACAGTACTTCCCTGCGAAATCAAACCCCATTAGGATTGAGAGTCACTAAATTTTTTTCCAAATCGTCAGTATAAAATGCCTCGCAGGACGGCTGTGAGGGAGGTGGTGCGGGAAAATGAATCCTACCACAAATATATTTTATAGAAAACATGCACGAAAATAGGCTTTCTTTTAATCATTTGGTAGAGAATCAGGCTGTCTTTGCATTTTATACCTGAAGAAAGGGTATATTTGGATTTTAAAAATGTTTCTAATTAGGAGATTTTTTAAGACCGGGCAATGTCCATTCATACAGCACCGTACTTATCTGTTTGCCAATATTTCTCATGAAATGTACAACATAGTCCGCATCAATTGCAAAATTTTATGAACTCTATGTGGTATCTTTTTAAGGGAATAGAGGAGCATATGATTTTCCTTACGCAGAAAGCATGCATCTTGTAGACTGAAATCGGTAAACGCTGATGCAACGACTGATCAGGCTCAAATCATTCGGGGATTGGGAAGCCTTTTAAAACCTAAATATACCCCTTCTTCAGGCATACAATGCAGAGACAACGTGATTCTCTACCAAACGAGTAAGAGAAAGCATGTTCTTTGCATGTTTTTTTTATGTAATATATTTGAATTTATCCGACGATCGAAAATCAATGTAAAAACTGCATGCTACTTAAATAGGAATTTTTTACCAAGTGCAGTTTCTACAGGATGTTAGAAAGAAGTGCATTCAAAAGCCGACATCCCGGCGAGTCCGAAATATTATAAGATGATGTCACATGGTAATCAGTATTACACTCCCACCTAAGTTGTCCTTCCTAGTCGAAAGCGCGTATTAGAATTTCGGCCAACATTTCATGAGTTCGGTCACTCACTGTACGTGACACTGTCTCCGATATTGCTTTTTTACTACCGTCATCAGTAGCGGGAAATGGTGCTGGGGCTTGCCGCGCTCACGGGGGACAGAGAGGTCTGGGGTCGATTTCATGGGGCCGGTGGTGACATTTCAGACTAACTCTCATCTGAAACGACTAATGCTCACGTTGGAAGGGTTTATTTCACATGAATATTTGGAGTGAAACGATTTACACTTCAGTAAAGTCAGTGCCTCTTTCGCTGGAAGCGTTCAGAGTAGGAACATGAAACGGCAGAGTGACTCCGCCACCTGTGCAACATCTGGTGCCAAAAGGCGAACGCGAAAGCAGACACGATTACTACTCGCGTAAAGTGAACAAGTCGCGCCTCCCCCCTGGCCCACAAGAGTCATTGTGGAGGCTGTTTTGCCCGCGGGGTAGGGCGTGTTAAGGGCACGTGTGAGACCTATGAAAGTCCACGCGGGATACCATTGTTCGACCAGCGGCCGTTAGCAGGCGCGGGGGACGATAGGAGACCTTCACTGGCAGTCGGGGGGGAAGAACCGTTTAAAGGGATGACGACTTAACGATGTAAACTGATAGCGCCACCGCCGCCGCCGCCACTATCGGGCCAGCGGGAGGCTGCCTGCGAGAGCGCCAACGCGCCGCAGCTCTGCGGAGGGAGGAGGGGGGGGGACTGGGTGGGGGCTTCGGTTTTGGCTTTCTAGTAGACCTCGTGAGGAAGGAGTCCAAACGCTGGAGGGTGACGGCGTGACGGAGAACTCACGGCAAATTATTAACAGGGAAGGGGGGGGGGGTTCGCTGATGTCTGGCTATCCTATTCACTGCTAGTAGGCTCGCGAGAAGGGCATTCATCTGTCTGTCCTGCCTGAAAGGCGTACTACGAGTTCTCCATTCTGTATTGGTCTAGAATACCTGCAGACTGTCACAAAGCGGCAATAAACCAGTAAAGGGGAATTCTCAGACAACAGTTGGGTCGACCGAGGCGGTGGTTTCTGAACTCCCCCGTCTCTTCGGACAGTCATGCCCGAATTCAGGGGAAGACCCAAGATCCGAACCTGCGTCAAGTCTCACTTAATGTCGCTAAATATCGGAACTGCTTTATTTCTACCGCAGTGTTTCTTCTGACTCCATCAACGCCGTGTCTGGGCTACTGATTTTTAAATAATTCCTCGCGAAATGTAACGGAGGTTAGACTCCAAGTCCTATTATACACGAGGAGAGTATGATCGAAAAACCGGAATAGAAGGTAACGTTTGTCTGTCCTCCAGCTGGCTATGCTAGAAGTTAGTAATATCCGTAGGGTCAGACATGCCTGAAGTCGAGTGGGATCCCAACAAATCAACTGGGTTCAGAGTCAACACTGTTGATCCGGCAATATATTTTGTGATTCAAACCCGAACGCTGGTAACCCTGTATTTGAGGACTCCGGTCTGTGCTACCGAGAGGCAATGGCTCGACCACCTGATCCGATAGATTAAATATTATACTGAACGGAGATTATACTGATGGTATCTGCGCTCACCGCAGCATTTTGTCCAGAGTTCCGTTGACATTGTAAATGAAACAGGTAGAGTTCCTTTGTATGTGCGCCCGCTTGCCCCCAACGTCACTGGTGAGTGATGTTCAAAACTCTTGCGAGAACGGTGCCAACAGAAGCGACTCCAAGTAAGGCCATTTCATTGGACCACACATATTTCTGAACTGTATATCCCCTACTAGACCCAGAATCATTTAAATCTTGAATTCTCTCCATATAACCATAGGTCACAGCAAGTAAATACTACACCATATCTGTAGACTGAACCCCCGTTATGCTGTCGTGTAAAGTTGCCATATTTTTTTTTCTGCGCCCTATTGGCCTAGGCTGTCACCAGGCAATTAAGCTCGGTGAGCAAGCTTTCAGACGGTTTATTTTCAGGGTAGATGGCAAAACGTCGGCTGAGTCATAGTGCTCCAAGCAAATGAATATGGTGAGTATGCTGTTGAAAGTATAATTTCCACAGTCGACAACCAGATGCCGACGTCTACCGAAGGAAAGTAAGAAGTAAACGAATAAGTATGGATTTCGGGGAAAGAGGAAAGAGGGGAGAGAAAGGGCGTATGTCACAGCCTCGCCTCTTCGGTCAGATCATCAAAGCTGGACCAGACTTAGAACAACCAATATGAAATACGGAAAGTTAGCAGTCAGAGTGGCGTTCTAACATGGACTGTGCTACAGTCAAGGAAACGGAGTTTTGGACGAGGTAAAAGAGAGGCCTCTGTGTAAACAGTCGCGTCACAGGAGGCGATGGAATTACTCTTATACCAAATTGAAGCAAAGGTCTTCAACAGGGTATAACTAGGCTTTTATCGTCTATTGAAACATCAAATAGGAGTGCCATGAAATACTGCAAGAGAAGTAGACATAATTACTGGGACAAGAGTTATATTAGCCTTACGTTTCGGATTCGCACTGGAACGCATATTCAGAGGCAGAACCAGATAAGGACCTTCCAAGAGGGTACAAAGAGGGGTTCCCCTCGTGCCCATTGCATCATTCAAAGAATGTGGCGGTATAAAGACCAAAGTATTCAGAAAAGCGGCAAATACAACGCAAGTGCTGAGGTAAAACAGTAATCGCCGTGTCAGCCACAAACGCAGTTGCGTAAGAGTGATATACCAGTGTGTGAAGACGCGCTTCAGTGGACCGGAATACAAAATCGTTGAATTACAATATCTTCGTCAGGCGCTTAGTGCGAACGGCAACTCGCACAACTTCGTCAGCCAGTGCATGTGGAAACGAGACGACAGACCAAATCCAAGCGGCCCCAAATTTTGGCGAGCTCTCCTGTACGTGAAGAATGTCTCGGAAGCCGTCAACCGCCTTCTTACACCCCTTGAACTCGGAGCTGTACACATACCGGAGGCAACAATAAGGCGTCAGATCATGAGGCCGAAGGACCCACTGCCACGGCAAGAAACATCTGGAGTCGTTTACATAGTCTGGCGGAGTTGTGGGTAGAGCAACTATGCCGGGAGAGCTGGAAGACTTCTCCGGACGCTGATGGCCGATCATGCAGCGGCAGTGGGGAGGAATGGCACCAGCTCCCAAGTCGCGACTCATACCACGGAACCCCGCCACACATTCAAGTTTGATGGGGCCGAAGTCCTTGCGAGAGGTGATACCTGCGTGGTTTACCTATCCTCAGCCGATTAACAGGCGCGATGACCTTCCCACTCCATAGCCTGTGCTGAGGCCTTACCTAGGCAGAGCAGTTGGCCACGCGGAAAGCACGCGGAGGGCCACTGTTCCTGGTGCCGCTGCAAGCAAGACAGAGTGCCTAAGCACCTCCACGGATGATAAAATTACCGCAATTAACAACTCGACTGCTGTAATTAGGAACTTATCATATCATATGTAACCATCTATAATGAATGCGGGAGTCGATAGTTTTGACTAGCCATCAGGCAGGCTCTCTGCGATGCATTCGGAAGCTGCCAATTCTGATAGACATGCAGTGGCATAGCAAATACATCCCATGAATACTGCAACACCTATGCGCTCCCTACCCTTATCTGTCTCTGATGATGGATTCAAGTGACAATACGAAACGTCAGGCTAATAAGACCTTTGTTCCAGCGAGCGTGTCTCCCTCACGACTGCTTTCTGGAACTCGCCTTTTCGCTTCTGCCGGCGTACTGTGGGCAGCAAAAATACCAACAGCACAGAATGGAGTGGCTGACTCACACCAACCCCGGTGTTTGATTGTAACCAATAATTTGCACTTCACTTTGTGATTGTGCCAGGGAACTGGATTCAGTGCTTGCTCGCGAAAATTTTGTCGCCTCAGAGTGGATGATGATGAAGCATATGCCTCACCCAGTACGAACTTCCATGAAATAACTACTTACGTAATTTGAGTAGGCGTAGTTTAACACATTTCGCTCATTCCCAGTCACGCCTCCCTCAAGTGTCAGCGTTCGGCTTAGGGTTAGGGTCAGAGGTTAGGATCAGCGGCTAGGATTGGGTTGGGACTAGGCCTAAGGGTTAGGGTCTAGGGTTAAGAGTAGATCCCAAGTATGGGCTTGGTGTTGGGCTATAATTCTATTACTTCCAGCGGCGGCCATTACGAGAATCGGATTTAACGATATATTCCTCACACATTCTCCTTCAGTGTGATCGATCCTCCCCGGTTAGGATCAGTTCGCTGGAATATCTGCCCAGTGCTCTCTGTCTTGATTTTTTCACGTTTACAGTTCTAAATTTCCAACACCTCAAATTGCGCGTTCTCACTTTTACGCTTTATCGATGTATTCAAACAAACCAACGGTTTAAAGGCAATTTTTTCCTTTGCTTCCCGAAAACAACCATCTGTCAGTTTCATTTACTCCGTCCATAAAACCCTCATTATCCTCATTCCCGTATTACTGGAGTCCTTGCCGCCAGTCAAAGATCCGATCACCACCAATCAGTAAATCAAATAGAGGCATAGGTGATTCCCTTAAAGTACCTCGCAAAATCAGGCGATTGATTTTCTGAAAATCATTTAGAACGACGGAAACGTCAGATGCGTCTATCATATACCACTTTCGTTATAACTCCATCACGGAAAGGATTCTTCCCTTCTAGACAATAGACTACTTAAATACCACACTGTCCTTGAGGATTTGATGATTAAAAGTTTGGTGTAATTTGGCCTTGGAGGTGAGCTGATGCCTTAACCACCGCTGAAGTTGCGCACGATGGGAAGTTTGGTTGTCCCAGCACACGATGAGACGCTTCAATGGTGGTCGACCAGCACGTACGAATTTGAGCACCTGAAGCCTCTAGCAGAAAATCAGTGCCCTAAAATGGAAAACAGTAGATAGAGGACTTTGACTGGGAGTGTAAATTTAAGTTACTTAGTTGAAGGCGTCATGTCCTGTAGATTCGGTGATTTAAGTTTTAAGGGTTTTCAAATGCCTCCGTTTGAATATACGCACAGTCGAATACGAACTGGTTTCCCGAGCCTGTTGACGACGCGTGTTGGGTGTTCAGGGCACACTACAGTACCTTATGATTGCCAGAGGCTCTGATCCTGTCAACACGAAGAAAGTTACAGAACTGATATCGTGGCAACGATTTACCAAGCAATTAGGTAAACTTAAAAATAGGTAAATACCCGACGCAAAAAACATGGATTACTGAAACAGTAAGAACTAGGATACTCAACGCTTTCGGGTACTGCTCTTAAAGAACGAGGATTCGCCAAATGAGCATCTAGGGTGGTCAAAGTTTTATTGGATTTCTGGTAAAAGAATGCTAGAGGTCGATTACGCTGCCCTGGTCCCAAATGTAAGCACAGTGTGGGCACTGCAAGTAAAGTGAGCCAAAGGAGGATGCTGAAATCGTTAGAGGGAAAATAGCAAAAGCTAATGCGGGAAAGGGCAACCTGGTGTTTCCGTTTAGAGGTAGGATCGGTTTTAGGGTTTGGGTTAGTGCCAGACTGAGAATTGGGTTTAGGGTTGGCGTTTGTGTTAAATTTAGAGGTTCCGGTTAGAGTTAGAGTTTGGATTGCGGTTTAGGCTTACGTTTAGTGTTAAGGTTGGGGTTAGAGTTACTGTTAAGGATAGGGTTTGGGTTACGGTTAAGGCTAGGTTTTGGCTTCGCGGTAGGGTGTGGCTAAGTGTTAGGGCTAGGGTTTGTGGTAGATTTAAAGTTGGGTCTAGCGTAGGTTTCGGGCAAGCGTTAGGTTTATAATTTCAGTAAGGATTAGGTTTACCTTTGAGGTTATAGTAGGTGGGCTAACTCATGAAATGTCAACCGAAATTCCGAAATGCATCTTCGTTTCGAAAAGATTAATTAAGTAGGGTTGTAGACCTAATCATCATCCGACGTAATTCTATAATAATTCTATTACCACAGGATGTTGGCTTTCGAAAGAACTTCTTTCCAGCCGCACGAAAAAACTATACTCTGTATAAAATGACTACTTATTTAGCATGTATTTTTTCTTTTATTTTCGATGCCCCTAAAAATCAAATTATGTTTCATGGAAAACATGCATAAAAATATTCATACTTTTGCTCATTCGGTAGGAAATGGCGTCTTCTTCCAATTTTATACTCGAAGGAAGGGTATTGTTCGGTTTTCAAAAATTTTCCAATTCCCGAATAATTTTGAACCTGCTCTGCCGTCACACTTGCATTCAGGGTTTCCAAACTACAAGCCATGTATTTTCTGTGTATGGAAAACCACACATTTCCATACGGTATTAGGAGGAGACCACATGGGGTTCATAAAACGTAGCATTGGATTTGATCCATATTGTTACCTTTATAAGCCACATTGCTAAATGCAGAGACACGACGACTTAGGAGCGGTCTCCTTACGGTATTTAAAAGTCCCACAATTAGAACCTTTCTAAAACCGAATTATGTCCCTCCTTCGAGTATAAAATTGGAAGAAGACGTAACTTTCTACCGAATGATCGGGAGAATGAATATTTTTATGAATGTTTTCCATAAAATATAATTGGATATTTAGGGGCATCGAAAATCAAAAAGAAAATGCATGATACTTAAGTAGTAATTTTTACAGAGTGTCGTTATTTGCATGCACCTGGAAGGAAGTTCATTCGAAAGCCGGCATCCTGGCGTACCTAAAATATTATAGAATTATGTTGCAGGCTGACTAGTTTTACAACCCTACTTAATTAATCTTTTCAAAACGAAAACGAAAACGCATTTCGGATTTTCGGTTGACATTTCATGAGTTAACTCACCTACTGTACGTTTAGGTTTACCTTTAGGTTTGGGGTATTGATACTCCGCGCGTCCTGTTAGCCAGGTCTTTTGCTGGGATTCCAGGTTTCCTTGAATCTCTCAGCAGATTTGTCCTACATCAGGCCGCCTTTTCCGTCTCAGTCTCGACTGCTTTCCCACTAATAACTTCAGCATCCTTCTTTGGCTTCATTTACTTTCAGTTCTGACATTGCACTTACACTTGGGAGCAGGACAACCCTTGCCAATAGTTAGGCCATGTGCACCGAATACACTGTAAAACGATATGTTATTGAATTCGTCTTTGCCATAGTTGGTAGGCGGTTGGCAAGCCTCATAATTGTACTCCGACATATCCTTATGGACAAATTAGTGTAGTATTGTATCCCTTGCCTCCAACCAAAAACATTTGGGTAGTGTTTTCTACCAGGAGACTTTAGATATGATTTGATTAATTTCAACGCATACTGCCCTTTAATCGATGTCTAACAACTTTATAAACTGGAGGCATTTTAAAGTTCATATAATTTGCTGGCAGGGGAGGAGACCAAGACATGTGACAGTCTACCCGGTCTGGCGACAGCGACAAACCCCTGTCAGTTCGCACCGCTCGTGACTCAGCTCTCGACTTGCCGACGCCGTAGCTCCGATCGATACTTTTGCCTTCAGCGACCTACTGCAGCCGGACAAGGCTCAGGCGCACGCACGCGTTCGCCTCGCGTCGGCGCTGACAGCACCAACGTCTGACATTCGGCTGGACCCAACAGCTGATACCACTACTGTCTTCCGAATTGGATGTGTACTCCCTTACTGGAGTGAAGTTTTTCTCACCGAGACTCCGTCTCCCAGACTCTTGATTTAGGACACCCCACCTCCGTCGATCCCTCATACTTCGGCAGACATGTCAGGAGGGATTCGCTACGGGACGACCTCGGACGGCCAGTGTACCCTACTGTCCAAGCTCTGGGTCAGCGTTGATTGATTTTCCCTGACCATGCCAACTAATCGATATTTCGCCTTCCCGAGTCATGTGGTGATTAGAATACTGTTTACACGGGGCGGGTCAGTCGACTGTGTCAGACCGCCCGAAATTGCTTGGCGTCAAGGCCCACTGTTGCTAACACTTTTGTGATGCAGCGGCTTCCTGTGCCAGTCCAATCAAACATTGGTCTACACAAGGAGGGGCTAGTCTTGCGAGTCGAGAAAGAAGGAGTAGGGGCCATTTCAGGCCGCTGGTGGGATCGCGGCGGAGACGAGTTAAAAGTGAGGCATGTGCCTCCGAAAGGAGAAGAATTGATGGCTAAAGCCTCTTTTCAGGAGTCTCCATTTCCCGAAATCTAGTGTCAAACAAACTGATTACAAGGGAGGAAGTACTTACAAAGAGGAGGGGGATTAGGATGACCGTTTGTGGCTTATTGGCTGTCGTCAGTGAGCCATACTTGACCCCAAATCAACAGGATCTGGGATTCTAACGTGGATTTGTAGCGGCACAACTGTGAGAATGTGTGTAGTCTGTGAGCTACAATTATCAAGTCAAATCCCAGAATGAAAGAAGACGGAAGGTAACATAATGAGGAGTTTATTGTGCACAGAACCCGGAGTTTTCCTCTCAGGCGGCAGTGGCCACTGGCGAAACCAGGGCTGGTGTTGACTGCGCCCAGACAAGTCTGAAAGTCTCTGAGACAGTGGTGACAGCCGCTTTTGTAGGCTAGTAGGCCAAGCTTAAGTGGTGTCCCGTCCGTGTGTGTTGCATTTGCCGAGGGGTGGTGTCCCAGTGGCTTAGGTTGTGGTTGCAAGGGGTGGGGTGCGTTCAAGTGACCGCATAGGCAGCTGCGGCTGTGCGGACGCAGGTATACCCGAGCTGTCGGACGTGTAACTTCGAGTCAGCGCGGCTCAGGTCTAGAACTTCAGATCTGGGACGGCTCACTGCAAAAGGTTGGATGACCTTGAGGCAGTGGGGTCTTAAACACTGACGCCAGACCTGTCATGATGGCTGGCCGTCACCTGGTAAGTAGTCCAATACTCTACCATTGAATTATGAGCCCTTTGTCAAAGTTGACTGCGACAGGGAATACGTTGGGAGTGCCTACATTCCGAAAAACAAGAGCCAGCCAATCACTGGAGGCCACGTGCGTTTTCTCTACTGCGCTGTCATCTTAATCGTGGCGCCTCTCCGTTGGCTTTTCCCCCCGGGCCTGATCGATCTGCATATTCGAATTATCGACCGGCTCGTTTGAAATGTTCTTCCCGAGAGGCATTGGGCCGACTGCCGGCGAACCACAGTAGGGCGTTATAAATATGCGTTACTTTCAGTTAATTTGGACTTGCAATTTCCTAATACACATTTTCGTGGCCGGTCGCGTTCTCCATCTCTGCCACGTTGGTATTGGGGACAAGAGTCGGATACGCATACGCTCCCACGTGCTTTCAAGTACCAGGCCGGGTCATAACAGAATATAGTAATTGCAACCGGACTACCAAAAAATGTCACGACCTTCGGCTAATGACCTACTGTGATCAACCGAAATTTCTAAATCACAGCAACGTTTCACCCTAGATTTCAGAGATGATGCTGCAGACGCGCATCCTGATGGAATGTCTCAACACCTCACACAGCCTTAGTCAAACGCAAAGAGACGAATAAAGCCGGTCAAATGGAGGGCGAGCTAATGGAAATTATCAAGGTAATAAACGATTGAAAAGGAGGACAAAGTTATAAAGTGCAAAGTTGGAATAGGTTCCAGGAGAAAACACGAGGGAGTGCAGCAACCACGGGAACTAAGATTTGACAGGACGGCTCAGGTAGCCTCGTAGTACTGGTAGATTAGATGGAGGGGTGTTTCATGACTGGGTCGCAGGTGGATTGGGTGTGAGAAGTCGTACCAGCGGGCCACTTCCTGTGAGTCGTCTTCAGGCAGTATCTAAATGAACAACAATAAATGTTACTACTCGTATCTTAAACAGTATTTTACTGATTACAGGGCGCGATAAACAACTTTGATGCACATATTGCATACTTACATTGCCTCTTAGGAATTTGAGAGCCTGCTACATCCATAAACTCGTGGATTTTACTGCCGGAAACCGTTTTGCACATAGTATGTGTCAAAACTAATAAAACATGGATTCCCGTCCCCAACTACCTTGTCCTCGCCGGGAAAAATTATTGTGTTGCTGATGTCTCGGAGAACTTGGCCGACTCATCGTCGCCAAAGCGTTTAATGCATAATATCGGTCAGAATTTTTAAATGACTGGTCGAGATAGTCGGCCCTGGACTGATCGATTTTTTATATTTTCGCTGACTCGACCTCTTGGCAGATGTTTGGTAGACCTGAAGACCACCTGCTTAATGAGTCGTCATCTCGATGGAGGATGGTTGAGCCTCACCTTCCCCGTCGGGTTGGTTCGTCGCCCAGCCGTGTTTGATTTGTTTTCCTAAGTTCGGTGTGACCGTCTTGTTGTGGTCCTTGTGTATGTAATTACGCAGGACGTTATAGGCACCAGGCAGATTTGGATGCCTGTTAATGAAGTTGGCTTCTGAATACCAAACCTCAAATGTAAGTCCTTCTGTCTTTGAGGTGCCCCGACCGCAGGTGTTCGCTCCTAGTAGACTAAAAGCATAGCCAGTTTCTACGATGTGAGTTGCAAGCTGAGAGTTTGGACTTAGCCTCCAGGTTGCCAGCCTGTGCTCATATAGGCAGGTCTTCGGTTTTCGTCCGGTTTCTCAGGCGTAGTTGCAGTTCCCATTATTGCAACGCAATTGGTGGACAACTATCAAGGTGTCGATGGGTGACAGTGTGACCTTAAGTTGCATCAAACGGCGAAGAATTGTTGCCTGGGGTCGATGGGCTATGCCTGCTCTGTCGGTTTGTAACGGTCGAGCAACTTTGGTGGTCACACCCAGCAGTCGGTAATGACCGTGAAACAGCTGTCTGCGTCTGGCCTGTTGCACACTTAGCGAGCTGCCTATGTATTATATGTGGTATGTGTCCTATGACACAGTGTTCATTGTCGCCAGTAGCAAGCTGGCGGGCGGACAGAATGGGATCAAGTGAGATCCTAACCACAACAGTGAGGGTCACACGCCTACTTGACATGCATATACATACAGTAGATGGGCTAACTCATGCAATGTTAGCCGAAATTCCGAAATTCGTTTTCTCTTCGAAAAGAATAATCAAATAGCGTTGAAAAACTAGTCATCGAGCAGCATAATTCTATAGTAATTCAGTTACCTCAGGATGCCGGCTTTCGAGTGAAGTTCTTTCCGGCTGCATGGAAAAACCATGCTCCGTAAAAAGGACTACCCAAATAGCATGCATTTTTCGCATTGATTTTCGATGTCCTTAAACATACAATTATATTTCATGCAAAGCATGCAGAAGAATAGTCCTTTTTGCTCATTCGGTAGAAAATTACATCTTCTTCCAATTTTATACTTGAAGAAAGGGTAGAATTCGGTTTTCATTATATATACATATCTGCGGAGTGGTCGACCGATTTAATTAAATGCTGACCGATATTGCGAGATGCGCATTCGATTAGGAAGGATTACCTAAGTGGGATTGTTAGATCGATTACCTTGCGGCATAATGCCGTAGTATTCTAGACGCGTCAGGATGTTGGCTTTTAAACGCACCCCTCTTCGGCCGCCTGCACTACTGTACTCGTTAAAAAAGGAATACTTAAATAGTGGATTTTTTTATTGATTTTCATTGCCCTCGTAAATTCAAATATATTATATAGGAAAACCGCATAGAAATATCCTTTATTGCACTCATTTAGCAGCAAATTACGTACTTTTCAAATTTTATCCTGAAGAAAGTGTATCTTTTGGTTTAAGAAACGTCCTTCGATATCAGAATGATTCTACACTTGACCCGCCACTGAATTCATGTTTTTTGGGTTTTCAGTATATTAGACGCATACTTCCTATGCAAGAAAACCCTCCATTCCACTATGCCATTAAGCAGAAAACATATGGAATTCACACGATTTTGCGACGTATGGGGACCACGTTGCATACTTTATGAGTTACAGATGAAACTGAGATCAGATGAAACAACGAATATGTAAGGATAAAACCTGCTTAAATAAATATAGTAGATATTATTTCTAGGAAGCGGATAGTTGGGTGCCATCTCCCGATCGTTATCGTACAGTATTAAACAGAAAGGTGCACTATTATTTGATTAGACATTGCAGTCTTAAAAAATTCCATAATTAGAAACATTTTTAAAACTGAAATATGCCCCTCCTTCGAGGGCACAATTTGAAGGAGGTGTGATTTTCTACGAAATTATCACAAGGAAGATTTTTCTATGCATGCATTTTAAAAATGTATTCGAATTTATACGGACTTCGAAAATCAATAGAAAAATGTTCGCTGTCTAAGTATTCATTTTTACCCCGTGCAGCCTCTGAAGACGACCTAAATGAAGTGTATTTAAAAGCCAACACCCTGATGTGTCTGAAATAATACGGTATTACATGAGATAATCAAGGTTACAGGCCCACTTAAGTGGATCGTCCTAATCAAATATGTATTTAAACATTTCTACCAACCTTTCACGAGATCGGTCACTGACTATACTTAAAGCAATTGGAATGCCCTACAAATGTTGGCTGAAATTCTGAAATGCGTTTTCGATTAGGAAGGATAACTTGGGCGCGGTGATAATACTGCTTATCTTAAGACATAATCCTACGATATTTCAGACTCGGTGGGATATCAGCTTTTGGATATATTGCTTTTAATCTCCTGTAGAGGCCGCAGTCGGTAAAAATTACTACTTAAGTAGCATGCAATTTTCCCTTTGATTTTTGAGGATCTTGCAAGTTCAGATATATTTTAGAGAAAGCACGAGCAAAAATATGCTTTCTTTCAGTCGCTTGAAAGAGAATCACGTCTTTTTGCAATTTTTCGCCCCGAGAAGGAGTATAATTAGGTTTTTAAAAATCTCTAATGACGAAATTTTTGAAGACCGCGCAACGTCCATTCACATGGCATCGCACCTCTCCGTTTACCACTGCTCCGCATGAAATGTACAATATATTCCGCATTCATTGCACAATTTTATGGACTGTGGTATGATATCTTTTTAAAGGCATAGAAGAATATGTGATTTTCTTTACGCGGAACGCATGCAACATGTAGACTGAGATCACTAAGCGTTAATGCAGCAGCAGATCATGCCCCAAATTATTCGGCAATCAGAAAACTTTTTTAAAACCCAATTGCACTCCTTCTTTGCGTATAAGATGTAAAGATGACGTGATTCTCTATCAAATGACTGAAAGAAGGCATATTTCTGTTCGTGGTTTTTTAAAAATATATTTGAATTTGCAAGACCATCAAAAATCAGTGGGAAAATGCATGCTACTTAAGTAGTCATTTTTACCGGGTGCGGTTTCTACAGGAGATTGAAAGGAGTGAATTCGAAAGCTGATCTCCTGCTGAGTCCGAAATATTATGGGCTTATGCCGCAAGATAATCACTTTTACAACCACGCCCAAGTAATCCTTTCTAATCAAAAACGTACTTCAGATTTCCAGCCAACATTTAACGAGATCGGTCACTCACTGTATATGGCCCTTTAAGCAGGACATGTGAATAGGAAGCGCCTGCAATGTAGGTGATCCTGAGCTAAAATCTACGGAAATTAGGGTTAGGTTCAAGGTTAGCTTAAGATGAGTTAGAGTCAAGGCAAGAGTCAGTGATAACTGCTGAGTTTGGGCTTTCAGGTAGTGTTAAGATCGATATTAGGGCTACGGTTTAGGCATATGGTAAGGAGAGTGGTGGGGTTGGGACTTAGGAATAGCTAACCTTCCTGGAATTAAGCGCAGTACGTTCCTATTCCCATGTCCTGTCTTGGGGGCCATATAAGAACTCCTTACTCATACATACAGTTAGTGACCTAACTCATGAAACGTGTCGAAATTTACGAATGATTGCCAATCACTCGCAAACCGACACCATTTCATGAGTCCAGTGTCTATGTTAATTAAATACACGTTTAAAAGAATTAAAACATAAAAGAAATACCAAAAGGCAGTTCGCCCTAATTTTCTGAAACAATGCCTTGGTTTTTGAATGTTTGTAAGGGTTCGGAAAGCTTTCTCTTACGTTCACGTTAATGGAGGACAGTTTTCTATCACTATTATACACCCATACACCACTGGAGCATATCCAGAGGAAGTGGGGTGTTTCTGTATACGAGAAAATAAGTTTGTGCATGGATATTCCAACAATCACATTTACAGTGCGTTACTTAACTCATGCAATGTGGTGAACTTTACGAATAATTGCCAATTAATTAACAACCAGTTTGAAAGAATTAAAAACATAAAAGATATATTAAAGGCAGTTTTGCGTTGTTTAGAAATGCCGATTTTTTTAGAACAACGCAATATCAGGCGCATATCTGCCAAGGAAACGTAGGATTTTGCCTGAAATGGAGACATGCAATTGCCTGCAAGCAGTCGCTAAATAATGTGTTTCCGATGTGGCATATCAGCACTCCACTGGTTTTACGCTAGTATCGTCCATTATTTCGACCGGTGTGTGCCTCTTAATTTAGAATTTTATTTATCTAGAGAGTTCTTGCAGACTTTTGAGTGGTTTTCCATGGGTGATGGTCTACCAGCCCAAATACGCTGATTTATAGCGAACAAACATTTTGCACTATCTTCTGGAAAAAAATCGAAGCATCTAGGAAAACAGACGGAAAATGCATACAACTTAAGTAGAGTTATACGTGCGAGTGAGATCGTCACAGGCAGCCATGACGAATCTCACTCCCATGCGCGATCTCATTTCTAGTCGACTGAATTCTGGAAAATTACGCAAGTTGGGAACGAGATCGTAGGTCACTGTGCGATACCTTGTTAACATATAACTTACCTGGTTCTCATTTAAACTACCACGCCTCTTTAAAGGTCACGATTTTAGAGATTGTTGAGTAGGGTAATAACCTAGTCCGTAAAATCGACAGCCAGGATATTGTCGCTGTATTTTAAAGTAGCTCCCATTTAAGGTTGCTCCCATGATATGCCTATTTCGGTTCGGAGACCAACATCGGCGTGACGCATTTGAAACTTGGATTAGATATCCGGCCAACAATTCTTCCTGATCTCATTTTCCGTAATCCTGACTTTTTCATCAATGAAGTCAGTGGCTGTGGGAAACAATACCACTGTCATCCCAGTTAGGGTGGCCTCAATAGACTGAGAGAAAGGAATTTCGGTGTGCACTTTTCTGCACAAGGATACAACAATAAAGATCTTGACGCTCACCGACCAAAGAATCGGGATTCGAAGCCCAGGCTATCCGGACCTGGGGTCGGGCATGGCCGACTGACGACGGCCAATGCACCAGAAAAATGGTAGGAGGACGCTCACAGATCGTTTTTTTGGAACTCACTCGTCCCATTGTGCCTTACGGACCCTTTCTAGAGTCCAATCAGCAGCTGCACAGCGGCGCATGATATGGGCAGAATGGCATTACCGAAAAAGACAAGGGAGACTGGAATGGCCATTTCTGGCTTATTAGCGTCGTCAGCCGGTCATGCCCAACCGCGAAGTGTGGAACCCCTGGGTCTTGATCCTGCGGCCGGTTAGTTAGAAGTCCAGCGCCCCTAGCCACGGACTCGTTGTCCTCTCGGTTGCGGTCTGGAGTGTAAAATGGTAGAGGGGCGCTCACAGATCGTGTTACGGAATTAACTTGACCCATTGTACCTTACGGGCTCTCCCTCGAGCCCAACCAGCAGCTGCACAGCGGTGCGTGATATATGCAGAATGGGTATGACTGGCTGACGACGGCTAATAAACCAGAAATGGCTATTCCAGTCTTCCTTATCTTTGTCGGTAATAACATACGATAGAAAAAGTCATTTCAGTCTCCCTTGTCATTATGGGCACTCCCTGCTGCATAACTGTCTTTGTCAGGCGGCCCCAATCAGTTTTCAATCTAAGCGGGATATGACAGCTCCAATTGATGAATTTCAAGGCTAGCTCGTCGAGTTGAGTATGATTTTGGGGCGGATATACTGGAAGACTGTAAGCACATGGAGGCTTTTTCAAAATCAGAGTATCAACATGCAGAAAGTTCACAAACCTTTGCAAGTTCCGATGGAAAGGGCACATCATCACTGCAGTGACAGTTAAACAACACAGCCTCCATCCAAGCATGGTCGGCATTGAGCTGGTCATTCAAGAAATCATCTTTGAGCTGCAAACCAGAAAAACTCGCTTAGCAGAAGCGCGACACAAAACTCTTATTACTTAATTTTATAAGTAAAAAGTTTATTTAAGCAGGATTCGGCCGGCAGCCTACCAAAGCGAAGTGCATCCCCGTGATGGACCTGATCAGCTGCTGACGGACGGATTGTCGCCCCTCCTGTTCCTCCTCTTCTTCTTCTTCTTCATCAGGATACACGTGGTTTACCCTCCGCAGAAGAAAATCCCGCATAATTTTGGCACTGCACCCTCGCAGATCGCAGTTTTCCCTGTGATCCACCAGAAACTAAAAAAGAAAGTAAATCGGCAGAATTCGTAGCTTACAGTTTCAACACGCTGAAAAGAGCAATAGGCTAAGCTAAATATGTCTAGCAATTCCTGAGACGCGAACGACGCTACTTCTTTATCCTTCCTAGTATCTTTGAACACCTAGCCTGCTTGCAAAGGTTGGCAATTCCGTGCTAGAAGCACTGAAGACGCAGAAATCCACTTATCAGTTGTTTATGACCACTAGGGTTGGAAAAAGACTGGTTTCGTCCAAACTCTGTATCAAAAACCGGTTTCGTGTGACATGGGGGACTCCGCGAGCACTTGTCGATTCCAAATCGTAGGACAAAATCACCATGGGCGAGACGGCAGTGTCTGGAGATGGCTACGAGCTCTGTTAGTATTATCATGGTCACGAAACAATGAGGATACTGGACTAGTTGCTACCACTTTGGAACATGCAGCAATCACTGTCATTTAGTGACGACATAAAGGTATACCTTAAACCAACATGCTGGGGACACTGGTATCAGTTCGTGTGCGCTAGACGACATGCGATGTGCAAGCAACATCGCTACTGACAGTCCTGTAGACCGGTAGGGTGTGGATGTAAGTCAACCCGAACTTAAAGGTGACATAAGAAGAGTCTGCATGACCTTATTTCGTAGCTGTACCTGTTGGGGGTTAGAAGTAAGCGTTAAGGTTTAGGGTTAGGGGATGGGGTTAGAGTAAGGGGTCAGCGGTAAACCCCATATTATCACCAGTCCCGTATGATAGACGGCTAAGTGTTGTCTACTGCAGGCACGGCTACGAAACAAGATCCGATCAGAAAGTCGTATGAACATCTGGGGAAGTTTTTTACCGACTTGACCTTTTAGGGTGTTTAGGTCTTGGTCATCTAGGGCTAGACTTGTTCGGATTACAGCTACAGAGACAAATTGTGGCCCATTATTACGATTGCACGCGGAACCTTCAACTGACTGTTAAGTCACTCGAGATCGAGGGTGAGATACAAACGAAAGACCAAAACGTGAAACTTTGAGTCTTTCATCGAATCTGTTCTAGTTTATGTCAAAAGAACGTAGTACCTTGGGTCGGACAAGGGATTATGAACCCCCCTCTCCACCAGTACTAGAGATGACTTCGCGCCTGATTCTTGGAGCGATTGTTTTCAAGGTCGATAGGACAAGCCGGTGGAGCACGTAGATAACATAATCTAACAACACCTACTTAAGTAAATGCAGTAGCCAATCATGTATACTATAAGGTACAGACAATACCCTTACAGCGCCACACCGAGTTCCAGGGGTTCCTATTCCCGTGCCTAACTTTAACCCTAATTCAAACACTGACCCTCATAAATCTAACCTTAATCCTTACCCTCCTAACCTCAACCAAAATGCTAACACCGCCTGAAATTTAGGTCAAAACAACCTATAATATGGAGGGTCTGCATTTACGTGCCCCGCCAGGTTTTCCCGTAAGATATCATGTGGCCGTCCCTCCCGGTCAAGCTGTCAGGGGTATGTGCCACGAAAGTGCCCTTACAACAAGACACGCGATAGGTGCGCTGCACCAACACTGGGGGCTAGATCGGGATCCGGCAGGTGTTTTCGGTAATGCGCATGTATAATAAATGCCAGTATTGGGAATGTGCCGGCGGGGTCAGATGCAGGCACACGTCACGCCAACTGGGATCCGAGCCATCCTCCCTCTCCCCTTGTTGTGTAAAATCTTGGTCAGCGTACGCTGTGGACGTAGGGGGGGGTGTGGTGATGCGCCTAGGGGTGCGGATTTGCGTTGTACCATCAACCTGCACTCTCTCCTGCCTCCGGTCTTATTGACTTGTCTTGACACCGGATCCAGGTGGAGGGGAAGGAGAGCGTGCGGTAGAGGCTGCGTAAGTCTACGCCCACTCTAAACTAACTCACACTGAATTCGCCATCCCTGCTCTCACCCTGCTGTGGAGCAAACGGTGGACGCTGTCGGTCACGATTGGGTTGAAAGACAAATAAAAAGACTATTATTCGAAAATCAAAATGCTATGCCGCAGGGGCTCCCTTTTAAACATGCGTCATATCCACTAGAATTCCGAAACTACTTAGATAAGATCTTCCCTTGGAAAGTATATCTAACGATCAAGGACAATTTTTCATGAGTTGCTCACGATATGAAGTGCATGATTCCTTTAAGAGGGCGATGCATTTGATTGGTATTGAGTGCCCCTGTTGTTCCAACAGTCCAGGCGGCTGCAATTGTTGGGCATGAAAGACACGTTAGAGAGGACCGTTATTAGCCTTTGAGGGATTTAAGCTCCAAGAAAGTTTCCAGTTCGTTTTCAAGAACAGCAAGTTCTAACCTCCCGCAGAGAATGTTGACACAGCCCGAATTTACATGTGAAGAATATTTAAAAAAACCTTCAATTTTCCCCAACCCACCCAAGGTATACAATACGCCTGATTCCGTTCCAGCAGTAGGACTTGCAGCCTCGGGCTCTGCCCTGCTACTCCTTGCCGTTCCTCGACCTGGTGGCGGGTCAGAGCCAGAAGGATCACGTGATTCGGACCCCAGTGCGGCAGGAGACCCCTTCCCGCGAGTCCTGATCTGCCCCGAGGATTTAACGGCAGTCCGCGCCGGGCACCCTCGGCTGCTCGACCCACACGGACTCGGCCACGGAGACAGGAACGAGAGACCCCTTGGGCGTTGTCGTAGGCGTTGTATTGCACGGTCGTTGGGTCTCTAACGGATAATTAGAAAAATCCATTTATTTACTTGAAGTGACTGTCTGGTTGCCCTGAGTCTAGCGAACAACAAGGAGCGCGATGTCCTTTTAGTAACGCCCTCCGCAACATGTAGTGATAAATTGGGTTCGGAGGAAGCGTGAGCTTTCTGAAGAGAGAATACACAAAGAGCTACTTAAGAGAAATTAGTAACGGTGAATTTACCAGCGAAATATGAGAACGGGAGCAACTTACACCTGCGGTCCGTCCTCGACCTCTGGATAGGGGTAGGCCAGCCGATCACCCGTGATGGAGAATGGACGATAGTCTGGATATACGACCTAGGGGGAAAACGCCCATGAACATAACTCTAAGACACAAAGTGAGCGCAGTAGCCCCAACTGCCAGGATAAAACGCTGGATTGGAAGCGTAGGTGGAGGGAAAAATGGGGGAATTAAAACACACGTATGACGCGTGGCCCAACCCCAACGAACGGGGAATAAAAATACTACGGAGGATGAACTGCATGCGCCATACTGATGCCGGTCCTACGCACGTTGCATTTTTCAAGGGCTACACTGCTTCTAAGCAGATAATCTATTCAATATCTCACTGAGTGGCGTGTCCAAAACGATGTCTAAGTGGATTGAAGCAGTGTTTTCCCGGAATAAATTTGAATAAGACAAACGCGACAAAGCATGCAGTATTTACTGATGTCATAAATTTCGAGACCTCTCATTCAGCTGCGTACGGTCATTGCATAGTTATAATGACAAGGCAAACCGTTCAATTGACGATCGACCTAGAGAGATATAATATGATAGGTAACGTGAAACATGGGTGCATATGGTGAGGGGGGGAGGGGGAGAGAAGTCACCCAAGTAGGAGAGGTCTCGAAATTTATGACGTCAGTAAATACTGCATGCTTTGTCGCCTTTGCCTTATTCAGATGTCTAAGTGGTTCATAGTACAAAATCGACGGATCTCGTGCATTACTCCGACAAACTATGCTTTCTTTTGATGTCTCAATTCTGATTTATTTTTCGAAAACGCCTTACTTGCATGACTATAGGACGAACCACTTAACGCACAAAGAACATTCTGAAATTGCTGATAGAAGCGAACAGGCGAGTCCCAGGTAGCAGTTCAGAAGATGAAGATGCGATCACTGGGACAAGAAGTTTATTTGCCTGACGTTTCGGATTCTTACTCGAACCCATCATCAGAGACATTCGCAGATAGAGGTGAAGGTGGCACCAGGAGTGCAGTATTTATAGCACGTGGCTGCCGTGGGACCGTATGCGCACTGCAATTAATAGTTCTCACAATCGCCGCTGGGGTCATAATTGATGCGGCGGTGGCTTGGCGGTCCGAGTCCGAGTTGTTAATTGCCGCGATTTTGTCATCCGTGCTCGATGCTGGTGTGACGATTGCTCGGCAAACTGGCTCACTGTCACCGTGATAATTGCTCACCCGCGCCCTCCCCATGTGACTGATTCTCCTGCCCAGGGAAAATCGCAATACGGAATAGGCCACCGGGAGGTCATTGTGTTAATTGCAGTGCGCATACGGTCCCACGGCAGCCACGTGCTATAAATAATGCACTCCTGGTGCCACCTTCACCTCTATCTGCGAATGTCTCTGATGATGGGTTCGAGTAAGAATCCGAAACGTCAGGCAAATAAACTTCTTGTCCCAGTGATCGCATCTTCATCTTCTGAACATTCTGAAAGTTTTTTTAATTTACACAATAGGAGATACTAAGTGCTCACAAATAGTAATTATAAAGCATAACTATGGTAGGCAGGACCGTCGGCGACGAGGCTTCTTAGTTAACTTGATTTCCACGAAAAGTTTGATCCGATTACCCCAAAGGAACCCCTGCCACCAAAGAGGGAAAGTGGGAAAAACATCTTCACCAGAGAGAGTTTCACTAGAATTAATGTAGCCAGAGAGTAAATCAGGAAACAGTGATATTTGATAATTCGGGCTACAGAACACAGCAAATCCACCAGAAATTGAACGCTACTTTTCTAATGCTAAAATTATTTGGGAAGAGGTCATCGGTTATCAGTTATAAGTTATACATGCTCATGCAAAGCCACTAAGTGATAGAACCTTCATAGGGAGTACTGACATTAGCTCGGACTCTGCAAGCAACCATTCTGTCGCTCACGCAACACGTGCCAGGACTCCATTCTACCGCACCAATAGCTATTGCAGCATTGTAGATTTGTTTAAGAGCGGGCTGAATTATATCCTCCACTTAATCATGTTTAATTAGTAAGCACAGAGCCGTGTCAGCAGCTACTCACTCTGCATTACACAGAGGGATCATTAAAAACTTCAAAACGCGGTTAAAGTGTGCGAACATCAGCATAAGACCATAGCAACCAGAATTCAAGTCTCGTCACAAGGGACCAACAGTGCGTGATTCTTTACATTATCTGTATGCGGGTTACTTTTTTCTTGTAGGTGCCACATACAGCGCGATATCTTCGGAATCGTATGAGATTAGCGCTGTGAACAGGTCAATATTTCAAGAAAACTTGTCATAATATTTTAGAGAACGCCGCCTAGGAATGGCATCAACAGTCACTGTTAAGTCATAGTAATTCAATTCTTACACCTGCTCACTCTTACTAATAATTATGTCCACCACCACCACCACCACCACCACCA